TTGGACACGCATTCAATTGCCTGATCAAACAATGAACATTGTTCTCCCTTTAGACACACATTCAATTGCTTGATCCTGACAATGAATACTGTTCTTCTCTTTGGACACGCATTTAATTGCCTGATCCTGACAATGAACATTGTTCTTCTCATTCGACACGCATTCAAATGCCTAATCCCGACAATGAACATTGTTCTTCTCATTGGACACGCAAGGCTATAGGCGACCTCACCAACTTTGGTCTTGATCAGATTAATGAAGAATCCATTGAACTTGATATTAAATTATTGACTTCATTGGACATGTAAAACCACTTGCGATTTCACCAACTTCGGTCTTGATCAGATTAATGAAGAACCTATCATCTCGGAAGCCTTGATACTAAATTCTTCACTTCATGAGAGAGTTGTTGAGGAAAACCAGTTTTCACTCTTGGGTCTCAATGTTCAAGCAAAGGAAGTATCATGGAGTATTCCCTGTATACTTTCTGCTGAATTGCCATACACCGAACTATATTGGGAGTGGTTAGAAGATGTCTTGACGCGTTACCATGACTTTCTTTCAAAACAACAACTATATGGTGTTATATTCGCCTCCATATTTTCATATGATCGCCATAAAGATATATTCAAAGCATTCCTCGAATGTTGGTGCCCAGCCACTAATATTCTTCATGGTTCTACCTGCTAGCTGTCTTTATATGATCGCCATGGAGATGTATTCAAAGCATTCCTCGAATGCTGGTACCCAGCCACTAATATTCTCTATGGTTCCATTAACAATGCCTTGTCTATCCCCCCTTTTGGGTTATGACAAAACAATGAATTTGAACAAAGATGTTGTCATTGTTTGTTTGTTTAGTCGTTCACAATTTATACTCTTACGGGCCAGGAGTATACAAAGATTTTTTTTTTCTTTTTTTGTCTTTTTTTTTTTTTTTTTTTTTTGGGCTGTACATAGTTTTAGCTCATGCGGGCCAGGAGCATAGTGCAATTTAAACTCATACGACCAGGAATATCTTCTCTAGCACCATGATCTTGGCTGCAACTTGATCCACCTTCTGATAGAAAGATCTAAATAGAACCATTCTTAGATAAGAAAGTGATGATGAAGCCGATAAACCGCAATTTGTCAACACAACTATCAAAAGGAAGCACACGGTGGTAATCGATCCATGATACTTGGGCCACAAGCACCACAACGAGAAGTTGTTGCAGATGTTGTAAGGATGTGACAAACGAAGCTTGCATGCCTATGCCTCCGTGTGGTGATTTGTTTTTACTTCAGCAATATCTTGGCGACGCCGTGAATTTTCCTTTACGCAATACCTCAATAGAAAACCAAATTTCTCTTTCAGCAACACCTTAGCGGCAAGCAAATTTTTTTCAGTGACTCCTCGACGATGAGTCAAAACTTTGTTGCAGCAACATTTGGATTCTTCAGCGACGCCTTGACGACAAGTCAAATTTTATTTATTTCTTCCAGCCACACCTCGATGACGAACAAATTTTTTTTTCTTTAACGATAGCTCAACGAAAATCTTTTCCAGCAATACCTCGACGGCGAGCAGAATTTTTTCTTGGCACCTACAGTCTGGCGACGAACCAATTTATTTCTTCACAACTACACTTTGCCGGATCAAAATTTCCTTTGTAGCTACAATTATGGCGACGGACCAAAATTCTTCTTTGCAGCTATATTTTGGCGGTGGGCCAAATTTCTTCCTTGCAGCTACAATTTGGCGACAGACCAAAATTTTCTTTGCAACTACACTTTGGTGGAATACCAAGTTGACAGGTGCGACGAGCACTTTTGATATCGCATGATGAATGACAACATCTTGAGAGCGAGCCAAGTTGAAAATTTGTGACGAGCGACAACAATATCTTGACAGTAAGCCAAGTTGATTAATTGCGACTAGTCCTTTTGATATCTTGTGACTAGCACACTTTGCCATTTTGCATACTCTGAGGATTTTTTTTTTTTTTTTTTAGCGTCATACTAAACTTAAAATAAAATTCTAAACTGCCTACGTACCCTCAAAAGAGGGATCAAGTCATCATGTAGTTCAATAGAGACATGAGTTTTTCCGAAAAAGTTTATACTAGTGTCAAAGAGTTTTTTTTTTTTTTTTTTCAAATAGTTTATATTCATATCAAAGAGTTCTTGATTTTTTTTTCTAGGTAGACAGTTTAAGCTCGTGTCAAGGAGTGCTTGATTTTTTTTTCTTCAAATAGACAGTTTAAACTCATGTCAAGGAGTGTTATTTTTTTTATTTTTTTGGGAGATAGTTTAAACTCATATCAAGGAGTTCTTGATTTTTTTTTTCAGGTAGACAGTTTAAACTCGTGTTAAGGAGTGTCATTTTTTATTTGAGAGAGTTTAAACTCGTATCAAGGAGTTCTTGAAAAAAAAAATTCCCAGGTAAATAGTTTAAACTCATGTCAAGGAATGTCATCGACAGTTTAGACTCGTATTTGGGAGCACTTCAACTTTAATAATTTTCTTCAACTTTGCAAGAATCAGACGACAATCCAAGCTTATACTGGAGGGCATGGACTATCTCGTCGTCACTTTGAGGATTTTCTTATTGGTTTCCTTGACTTAATGCCCCCTATGATTTTGCACTTTTGATTGAAGTCATTGTTGTAGCATGGTGCATTTCTTGATGCAAGTCTCTCGAGTTGATGCTTAGAATGAAAGATGATGCTACTTCGTCATCCGAGTTAGGAAGTATATCGTCTTCTTCTTCGGACTCACTTCCCTCATCTTCTTGAAGGTTGTCTGGTATATCTGAAACATCTTTCCTAGCACCATGATTTTTCATGCTAAGCTCCATGTTGTGGGCTCGAGTAACAAGCTCTTCAAATGTGCGAGGCTTAATCCCTTGTAGGATGTAAAGAAGTTCCGCGCATACCTTGCATACATGCTTCAACTGCAGAAATTTCAGACAAACGATCCTTGCAGTCAAGACTTAGAGCTCGCCAACAGTTGATGTAGTTAACCACGGGTTCACCCTTCATCTGTTTTGTATTTATAAGCTCCAGCATACTTACAATATGACGAGTGCTGTAGAAACCGTTGAGAAATTCTCGTTCCATCTGCTCCCAACTGTCAATACCTCTAGCTTTGAGGTCTGTGTACCAATCAAATGCATTCCCTTTGAGGGAACGAACGAATTGCTTGACAAGGAGATTTCCATTTGTACCAGCATTGCCGCAAGTTTCTACAAAGTGTGCAACATGTTGTTTGGGATTGCTTTTTCCGTCAAATTATTGAAGCTTTGGAGGTTGATACCCAACCAGTACTTTTAAGATGTCAATTCTTTCTGTGTAAAGCTTTGAGTACATGCAATCACTTTAAGGAACGCCACTGTATTGTTCTCTTATGCAATTCACTATCATATCTTGAAGTTGTTGGACAGAAAGTAAGGTGACGGAGGCAGCATCAATTGTTGGATTGGCGGACACGTCATTTTGATCATCAATTGGAGTGTTCTCTGGCATGGAATTAGAAGAGAAATTCGGCCTTTGCTTGACTCAGCATTGTCGTCACGCAATTTTAACTTTTCTGTCAGCGAGACAATTTTCAGATCTTGCTCCTTGAAAGAGTGTTGTAATCTTTCAATTGCATAGGCCATAGTCGTCAATTGCTCTTCGTACGAGGTAGTACTCGTCATCATGACTGACATAATGATGGAGTCAGAAAAAATCTTTGGCCATGAGTAGACCAGCCTTGAATTTAAACTTGTGACTAGAGCAACCTTTGAGGTTGTAGGAACCTTCCTCCTTGCCCCCAGCAAGGTGGAACTTGAACTTGTGACTGCAGCAACCTTTGAGGTTGTAGAAACCTTCCTCCTCAAAGTGAAGGCGGTATGAGTTTGAGTTTTTACTTTGACAGATTTGGCAGAATTAACTCTCATCGCATTGTGCAGTCTTTTGGCAAGAACGGATAATTTGACCATGATCCACATCATTGAACTTACAGAGGTGTTTGTACCACTTGACGAAGTTGCAACCTTCTTGCCACCTTTTGTGATGGTATTGATGTTATCCGTCATGACCGCGATGTCTTTGGTGGTATTCTTGCTCTTCGCCTGAATCTTTTTGGAAGTCATAGAATCTGACGATGAATTTGTTGAGAATTTGATGTAGGAGAGAGATGAGAGGCAGAGGATGTCCCACCGGGCGTGCCAGAAATTTGTACACACAAATTTTATAGTCTGTAAATAAAAAACAAAATTGGGAACAAATATAATATTTTATTAATTTATAAAGATTGAGTACAATCCTCTGTAGTATTCTTTACAAAGAATAAGATCCTTTGATTCGATCTCCTTTTTTGTTGGTTGGATCCAAGGGCTGCACGAGCTTGATCTTGAATCACCATGGAATTTGGATGAAGAACGGCACGATTTGATGTGCTTGTTGTTGATCACCGTGGAATTTGATGAAGAATGACACAATTTAATGTACTTGTTGTTAATCACCATAAAATTTAAATGAAGAACGGCACGATTTGATGTGCTTAGTGTTCTTTGCTTTTGGACAGTTTCTGTATTTCTCTCTGAAATTTTGGATTCTGAATTTGTCTACCCTCTTGATTTCTGGCCCTTTGAATTTCTAGACCTTCTGGATTTCTGGACTCCGAATTTGTATCATTGCCTTCTTCTTTCATGCTTCTATTTATGGGCTTCTTGAATTAGTAGGATGATGACACATGTCATTTCCTAATAAAGATAAAATAATAACTGAGTCGAACCGATTATATTATGATAATTATCTTTAAAAATAATTATTCCAAATATATTTTATAGGAATAATTATCTTTTTATTTAACCATCTGAACTAGACTAATTAAATAATCTGAACTGGACTAATTAAATAATTTAAGTGAACCAAACTTGGACCAATTAAATTAACTTAATTAAACATTAAACTCATATTTAATGAGTCCATTTGTCAAAACCAAAGCCCACTAAAATTTTAGTGTCTACAGCCTTGATCACTAAACTTGACATCTGATATCCTTATGCCACTTAAAAAAATAAATAAATAAATAAAAAATACAGAGATTTCTTTTTATGATTTGAACTATCAGTGGATCTATCTATCAATACGTACTAGCATTATTGACCAAATATGTCATTAGGTAACTAAATGTAGATCATTGTACTATTGCATCATACAATCATACAAGCATCATAAGCTAATCTAATAATACCAAGCACCAAAAGTGAAAACCTATCTAGTCCGTAGTAAAATCTATGCATACCCAGTCATTCCAACAGTTGAGTTTGCACGATTTGTTTTATGTGGTGCCTGAGTAGTAGTAGCCTTGGTGAAGTACATGTAGTAGTATACGTTGAGGATCATTGTTGCAACCACGAACACTGCTCCTGCAATGAAAACACCCTTCCGCAATGTTTCACAAGAGAAGTCGTGCGCGTAAATCGCATCCCGGTACTTGGTGTGGTAAGCATTCTTCTTTGCACCAGCAACTAGACATGCTTCTGCCACGAGAAAAGTCATCCTGCAGATACAAAAATGTAACAAGTTTTGAAGTTGGAACAACTTGCAATTGGGAATAGATGAATAGATATCTTGTCATCTATATCATTTTATTCAACTTAGTGCTGAGTGTATCAAAAGTTAACTATATTTTATTTTTATTTTCTCCCTGGATTATGAATGTAATGTTGCTGACCATAGCTGATCGCAGATGTAATGTTGTCATCAGTCAAACCCTAGATTCAGAGACTTGCAATAGATTGGCAATTGCAACAATGTGAAGCCCAGCAAGAAAAAGCATGTACAGTAGCAAAAAAAATCAAAATTTCTTGTTTCATTAACAAAATAAAAATGGTAATAGGAAGATGTAAATCAGACAAATCAAACCAATCAAACATCATACGGACTTCTATTAGAAGAAGATGATTCCGTAAAGTGTCTTACATTTGGCATAAAGATTCATAATATGGCAACGTGTTCCGTTGTCATCTAATTATGGTTGGATAAAGAATATGCACAAGGCATCAGAATACTCACCATGATGATACAAAATATATAATGGTCCAAGCACGATTCCCTCCAGGCGCTAATGGTCTCCCAAAACACATGCACTTTGTCACACCCATAACCAGCGATTCACTTGAGAGAAGAAACAAGAAAGCACCTGCCCCATATCCAGTTGCAACATCTGAACTGTAAACACAGTATGTAGCATTGGTATTGGAATTGTCAATCTCATGTAAAGTACCCTGTCATGCAGAAAAAGATCTTTCAATACAAACAAATAATGAATTGAATGTTAGTATGAAGTATTACAATCCAGCACAAAAGCTTCACTAAATGTCAAACAGAACTTTAATTATGCGCGAGTCCCCACGCAGGGCTGTACTACTGCAAGAAATAAAATTGTAGCTTTCAGTTAATTTGTTCAAGATGCCTTGCCAAACTCAGAAAAGGAGCTTGCATAGCATGCCAATGCATAGAACAATTCTAGTTTATCATTGGCCTGGTCAGGATACACAAATGCAAGTATGGAATGAAATCATCGGCAAGTGCGTGCCTGTTTATGCTTCCTGCATCATTGGGTATCAGTATTTCCCAGGAGCAGATAGCTGCCAGCAGCTTTTGTTGCATAAATTGAATCATAAGTTTGTATACAATTATATTACCTTTACAGAATCGAAAGTAGAGAAGATTTGTTACCCAGACACCACAAGGCCACACCTCATTCACAGAGGCAAACATGCCCAGGCATAACTGAATGCCTAGAATATACCACTAGCTATTGAAACTCAGACCATAATAAAATACCCACCCTTTAAACTGGGATCCTTTTTTATTGCTTTAGCCTTTAAATTCCTTTAAATTATTTTACTTAAATATAAACTTCTAGATGGTGTAATTCATAAATGACACCTAGCATCAACAGGCTTGCCAAAGCATCTGCTACTACCACAATGACCTAATGAAACTGCGTAACATGCATTACCTTTGATGTGTCTGTTGAAAGGATAACTAATCCTATCAGAACATCCAATTCACCAATGACATATTACAGTACATCTAATGTTATTGTTGGAAAATGGATCTAAAGCGGAAGCAAAAATCGAACCCCATCAATGCTTGTAAAGATCATATTCAAGACTAAATATGTGATTAAATTGATTATCTAGAGATATAGAGCCTTATACGTTTGGGGAATTGGTAGATTCCCAACTAAGAGAACACTCGTCTCCTTCTCCAAGCTCCTAGATCTTCCCTTCTTGGCTCCTTGCGCCCAAATGCTTCACTCCTATAGCGTCCTCTTGAAAACCGCAAGCTAAGAGTGGTGGGACTCTTGGAAGTATAGTAGGAACACTAGGAGACCTAGTTGTTAAAGGCTCAAGGCGCACCAAGGCGCCAAGGTCCCCTGGAGCCTGAGGCGCAAGGCGAGGCGCGCGCCCGAGTGAAGTGAGACGCAAGTTGAGAAAAAATTAAAAATGACATCTAATAAAGAGGCAATAGTAAATATAAAGATGCAAAATCACGTAAACCAAAAACTTGAATCAACATACTAACAAAAAAATGCAAAAGGGAACTACGTTCAATAGTAACAAACATACTAATATAAAGATGCAAAAGTCAACTAATTAAATAAAACCAAAACAAACATAGAAATGTTCACTCCTTCCTAAACTCCTAAGAAGACAACACCAAAGGATCTAAACATCATCATCATCATCAATAAACATATCACAATCTTGATCATCACTTAAAATGTGTGTGTGGGTTTATGTTTTTTGCAATTGGTCATACACAGAAGGCCTAACCTTCAACTACAGCCTACAGGGAAAAAGGCAAGTACAGAGATTTAAGAAGAAAAAAACAAACCATGCTAATAGTGCTGTGATTTCAGAAAAACAAAATAATCAGAACAGAGATTTCTTCTTCTCTCTTCTGGACTCGACTGTGGAAACTGAGGAGGAGAAGAGTAGCAGCCAAAACAAAAAAAAAAAAAAAAAAAAGACACAGATTTCAGAAAAGGAAGAAGTAGAAACAGATTTTTGAAAGATCAAAAAAAAAGAAGTTCAGACTTCAGAGAAACAGATTTGTTAAAAAAGAAAAACAGAGCTTCCAGTTCCAGACTTCCAGCTGAAGAAGAAGAAGAGTAACACCAACGGATTTCAGAAAAATAAGAGGTGCAGAGAAACAGATTTAAAAAAAAAAAATAGGGAGTTCAGTTGAAGACTGATAGCAGCCAGAAAGAACCACAACAAAAAAAAAAAAAAATAGATTTTCCAAAAAGAAGAAGAATAGTAATAAGAAAAAAACAAAATAACCATAGATTTCAGAAAAAAAAGGAGAAGAAGATAAGAGAAACAAACCAAAAAAATGAAGCGCAACTGCGCAACTTAAGAAAAAAAGATTTCAGCAATTCAGTCGATGAAGAAGAAGAGAGAGAAAAGAAGAGAGAAGAAGAGAGAAGATGAAGAGAGCTTACCTGATTCCTTCAATTCGACCAGATGAGATTATGAGAGCGAGCCCTAGTCTTCTTTCTCTTTTCATTCACTCTCTTTCTCTTTCTGATTCACTTTCCTTTTTGTTTTTATTTATTTTCCTTTTTGTTTTGGGTCAAGTTGGTCAAAAGTTGACTTCCACAGCCTGTATTAACTCTTATAAGGTATATAAACCTTTTTCCTTTTATAACCTGCAAGTTAAAAGACATTTAAAAAGAATTAATCAGGCGCGCCTGCCTTGCACCTCGAGATCCTCGCCTATGTAGAAAAGGCACACGCCTTCTTTAAGCCATACGCCTTAAGGCCTTCTTTAAGCCATACGCCTTAAGGCACTAAAGGAGCCTCAGGCGCGCGCCTCCGGTGCCTTTAACAACTATGCTAGGAGAGCAATGTATTGTGTAGAGAGAGAATATCTCAGATTGCTCCTAGCACTTCTTGCTCCCCAAGACTTAATAATCTAACTCCCTTACTTGAATATCAAACTTGGGCTAGGAAATAAGGATCTAGTTGGACCAATTCTCCTCTTGGCTCCAATGGGTTATTTAAAAGACCTAGTCATCTCATGACCCAATTAAATAAACCTGTTAACCAAACTTAACTCCACTATATAAGAATGGTTGCACTCTAGTAGAGAAAAATAAAGACACCATATTAATTTACGAGATCACCCCACTACACATAATTAGCCGTCATAAAATATAAGGCCATCAATCTAATTACCAATTAAACCTCTCTCTGACTAACGATTAATCCACTTGATCACATAAAAGCTTTTACCTTTGATAAAATAATACTCTATCTATCCCATATTAGTTGTCCTTCTTGGGGAGTAGGGCCTTTTAAGAAGACATGCAATTAATGCATTGTCCACTTTTAAAATTAATAAGTTATCCTTTTAAATTTGAATATATAAAGTTGATTTTATAAAAAAAAAAATTCAAGGGTATTTATGAAAAAATGCAAAATAACTTATTTGAACTTTTTTAGTGGAACAAGTATTTTGGGACAACCCAAAAAAGAGAGATGAAGAACTAAATTGGGACGAAGGGAGTATATTTAATAAATAAATATATAATAAAACCATTTTATCAAAAACACCGAGGGCCTAGGTTTCTGTGATCAAGCTAATCAAATCAAAGTAGATATCCTAGCATAGCTGCAATCTTGAGAGTATACGTTCCAATGCCCGTAATCAATGATTACCCAAAATACTCAGATCTTAGGTCCTAGGGTCCACCAAAATAAATCAAACCCACCACTAATAAAAAAACAGGAGTCCATTCCTCTCTCATGCTTGAGAGTCACTCGCCATAATAATGATAAGAGTAATTGTTATGACGGTTATCGCAAGCATCTCAACATATCCTTGATCCAGTTCAATGTGTCCAACACATCAACATGCATGGTTTTGAACTACGAAGGGAAGAGGGGGGGAGGCAAAGCGCAGAGGAGAGAGAGAGGAGGGGAACTTAATTGCGTGCTCATGAAGTTCCGCATTGTTTCATGGAATGTCTGTGTGGTCTCAATGACAAAGACAATAGAAAGGTGGTGAAGTTGGCGGTGCAAAAGTGACGTGCTCAATTGGTGTGCTTGCAGGAGACAAAATTGTCCTCTACTTCGGATAGGTTGGTTATGAGCCTTTAGGGTGGAAGATTTGTGTAATGGGAGGTGTTGGATGCTTCAAGAGGCATTCTTGTGTTGTGGGACAGGAGATGGTTGTCCAAGGAAGACTCGATGGGAAGGTTTTCCATATCTTGTGCTCTTACCTTGCAGGAGGACAGATTCCAATAGGTGTTCTCCGGTGTATATGGTCTTGTAAAGAACGGGGAGAGGCAATTGTTGTGGGAGGAGCTTGGCTCTATCCAAAGGAGATGGTCCCTCCCGTGGTGTTTTGGTGGGGTAATGAATATTGTCCATTCCCCACAAGGGAGGTCTACGAGGGGTAAGTGGACTTCGGCCATTTTCAAGCTACATTGATGATCTTCAAATTGATTTTCCATTGAAGGGAGTGTCTTTCACTTGGTCCAGTGGCAGATAGTCTCCTACCTTGTCTTGTCTGGATAGGTTCCTTTTATCTAGAGATCGGGAGGAGAAATATCCGGATGTGGTTAAGACAGCTTTGGCTAGACCCACTTCACACCATATTCCCTTGGTTTTGGATTGTGTTGGTTTGCGGAAGAGTAGTTCTCCCTTTGATTTGAGAACATGTGGCTTCGGACGGAGGGCTTCAAGGAGAGGGTGCAAGCTTGGTGGGCGGGATATGGGGTGGGTGGCACTCCGCGCTTCATCCTTACTGGTAAACTCAGGCTCTTGAAGGAAGATATCAAAAGGTGGAACAGGGAGGTGTTTGGGAATCTAGAATGGAGGAAGGATTAAGGCTCTTTCTGAGATAGCAGAGATGGATCGTATGGAGGGATTGGGTGGTTTGGACGAGCTCATGAGGCGTAAGAGGGAGGAGTGTCCCATTTCAGAGATCTCATGGCAGCAAAAATCTCGTGCTTTGTCGCTTAAAGAGGGTGATAGGAACACAGGGTTCTTTCATAGGCTCGCTAATGCTCATCGGCGGAGTAACCACACTAGGAAGATTCGGGTTGACAGGGAGTTGTAAAGCAAGGAGGAAGAGGTGTGTAGGGAGATTGCTGCTTTCTATCAGAGGTTGTACACAGAGACCTACAGCTGGAGGCCATTGCTAGTGGTGTTGCATTTTGATCCTATCCCCAATTCTGGTAGAGGTTGGTTAGAGAATCCATTTA